AGTACAACCAGTATATATACACCAGAAATATGATTGTTTCAAAGGTAATCATTTTATTTTTTATTTAAATTCTTTATTGCACCAATATTAAAAGCAGATACATAAAAATATATATATATAACAATATATAAAAGAAAGTAGAAGGTACAGAAGGCGGTCTTATCGCTAACGCAATCTCTTACAGACAACCGTAGGAAAGAGAGTTATACTAAAAATAAAGTAGGTGGCACATGAGTGGAAATAAGATAATAATATAAAGATAAAAAAAAATTAAAAACAATTATTTACATTTATGTAAATAACTTAATATTAAGTGTACAGATGTACACCGGAATAGGTTTAAATAGTAATCTACACTAAAATAAACATTATTATATGTAATAATGCTTATATATCTATGCATTTGTTTATGTACTTATATCTGATTATTTTATTATATTTATATTGTAATATTTACTTATTAAATGTATTGTGTTAACGTTTTATTATTTATATATTTAGTAAATGTGTATATGACTTTTTTTTAATAATACATTAGTGTTATCTATTACAAAAATTCAAGCACTATCGTTGCTCGCTAACTACCACATCTATCACAGCCTTAGGTTGACTGGAAGATCTCTTGCAGATATGAGCTCGCTCTTGCTCACATTTTTGTATAACTGTCTTTGTTTATTAATATATCACGGGGAGTGTTCTGAGGAATTGTTCGGATTAATACCAGCTGCTGAGTTTCACCACCGCACCACCCGCCAGAAACTGAAATACCATCCTGATCATCTGGATGAATGGCGGGCTTCCACAGTGCGGTTTTCTAGAAACTTTTTGCCTCGCACCACCACATTGTGGAATCACCTTCCAGCAATGGTATTTCCGATACGATATCGAAACCTTCAAGAAAAGCTTATTCTATATTTTATATACTACTAGCTGTTCCCGCTATAAAAAAATACTAAATATCGGGAACTCAGCAAATAAATATAAAACGTAGTAAGATCACGTGATTTTTACTAATTATACGTATAAAAAAAATGTACAGAATTTGTCATTTGTTTAATAATATCTACTTGTTACACCAGTTTAAATGTAATAGTTAATTGTATACACGTTCTAGTGCCAGAGTTAAAGTTAGTTTACAAAATGTTTGCTTACCTGTTGCTCTGGGGAGTTCTAACGTGTTAGGTAAATGAAGCCACACGTTCAAGATTCTAGTTAGTGTAAATATATGCTTTTCATCGATTTAAATCGATTTAGGTAATTGTTTCCTACAGTCTTATCTTATCTTACTTCCGATGGTTGCGGAATCGATTCCTCGTTCAAACATTTGTATTCATAAGTATGATTGTTTTTATCGGTCTGGGTACTTTCAATGCATATATTATAACGAGTGGGCCCGACTGTACTGTACTGTCTTCACTATTGTTTGCAATGGTTAATTTGTTTTAAATTGAAATAAAAAAAATATTTTTAATATATTGTACGTTGATTTTAATAATGACGCCACGGAATGTTCGAGAAGGAGTGCAAAAGCAATATATATAAATAAAATTGGAGTGGCTGTTTGTAATATTGAAATAACAGTTTTTTACTACATGCATATGAATATAAATACGGTACATACACCAAAAAACCACTGTTTGTTCCGGCTAATCTCTGAATTGGTTGGACCGATTTTAACGGGACTCCTTATTACATCAGCTACCTGCCAATAAAAGTCCTGTCAAAATCGGTTCAGCCATTTCAGATATTAGCCGGAACAAACAGACAGACATACAGACTTACAAATATTAAAAAAAAAAAATGTATGTACCGAATGCATGTAGTAAAAACTGTTATTTCAATATTACAAACAGACACTCAAATTTCATTTATATGTATAGACGTACATCAATTAGTAAACTATACAAATCTAAAAACAATATTGTTCATAAAATATAATATTTAATTTACGCAGCCAATTTGAATAAAAAACCTTATTATTATTTGGGGTGAGTTTATGAAGGGGGGTGTAATATGTTCTTCTCATCTATTCATCTCTGTTTGCAGTCATCTCGTTATTTACTCTCTTTCTTATCATCTTTCACACAGTCCATCCCTCTTTTTTACGGCCTTCCTCTGCCTTTATAACCATTGTATAGTGTTCACTTATTTGTTATTTATGTCTTCTTGTATGTAAGTTGTTATCGACGTAATATCGGCTCGTTAGCCATAGCTCCACGTCTTTACTCAGCGGCGCTTGCGCAGGGAATCCCTTCCCTCTTGCGCACGGCGGTCCGTGTACGCTCGGCTCAAGACGATAGATAATAAACTAGTGTTTCCACATACACTACACATTGGTTATATGATACTTTTTAAACTTTTAAAAATAAATTAGTAGAGTAGAATTGTTCAAACACTTATGCAGCAAGGGAGTACTGTCAATTTAGTATGAAAGGTCAATCAGATTATATTCTTCATTTATGTGTATATGACCTGGCAATTTACTTGGTACTTATAACATTTACGACCTGTAAATATGTATAGACGTACATCAATTAGTAAACGATACAAATCTAAAAACAACATTGTTCATTAAAAATAACCATTATATTGAATTCACGTAGCCAATTTGAATAAAAACCGTTTTATCGGTTAATGTCGATAACAATCCATTTACAAGCTCATTAAACGAGCGATAAGGCACGGAAAACCTAATACCGCACTTTTTTCAGCTCATTTCGTTAATTTTCTAGAACGTTACACGCTACAATGACTAGTTGGAATGATTCAAATTCAAATTCAAAAATCATTTATTCATGTAGGACATTTTAGCCACTTTTGACGACCTCGGTGGTCTAGCGGTCTAACACACCGCTTTACGTCCGATGGTCGCGGGTTCGATTCCTCGCACGGCACAAACATTTGTATTCATGAGTATGATTGTTTGTGTCGGTCTGGGTGTTTTCTATGTATATTAAGTATGTATTTACGAAAAAAAAAATATTTATGTATTTGTATTAGTTATCTAGTACCCATAACACAAGCTTTAGCTTAACTTGGGTCTAGATGGTGCTGTGTGAATTGTCCTGAGATTATAGATTATTATTATTATGAATGTTAAAACTTTTTACATTATAATTTTAATTTTTTCCCTACCGTCCAGTTCGGTATATATGTATATCCAATTGAGAAGAACTGCCAAGAAACTCAATTGAATTACTTTTTTTTTAAAGCCAGTTTATTTACAATGTATATTTATGTAGGTGTCTATGTCTAACATTAAATGAAAATTCCGTGCATGAACAACTATTGCCATGCACGCTCGTCATTCAAGTAATCGTTTAGTGAGTAATAGAATTTGCTCAGTAAACGTGATTTAACAGATGTTTTGAATTTATTTAAGGGTAATTCCAATATATCCTTTAGTATGATATTGTAAATTTTTATACCTATTCCCATAAAATACCTATTGACTTTTTCTAAATAATAATTAAAATCTGACTTACCTCAGACCTACGCATTTATCTTCGTTACATAATTACGTAATATTAAATAAAGTCGCTGTCGCTATCTGTCCGTCCTTATGTATACTTAAATCTTTAAAACTACGCAACGAATTTTGAAGCGGTTTTTATAATAGATAGAGTGATTCTAGAGAAAGGTTTATTTATACAATACATGTAGGTACACCCATACGAAGCCGCGGCGAGTAACTAGTTATCAATAAAACTCTACAGTGCCTTCAAAAGTAGTTCTTGATGACTACGATTTTGATGTTTCTTTTATGTATCTGGTAGCTGCCCCTACTAAGTTGCTATCATACGACACACAAGGTAAACTACCAGCCTACTTCTTTAAGTCTGAAATGACACTTTTACATATTTAGTCCCTTATTACTTTGTATAATTCCTACCAATCAAGAGGCCATTCTTCCAGCCCCTCCGCGAGGTTTTGCGCAGAGAGTTGATACCATGGCAAAGGGACCCCGAGGACCCAACCACCCACCTACCCAAATCTTCCGCAACCGAAGTGGGTGCAGAAGACTTGTCACTATCTCTAGCGCCATATATCATAATTTAACCAAAGCAAGCTGCTTAAAATAGATGACTCCAAGATAACACTTTATACAAACACTACATAGAAATCTAATATTAGAAAATATATAAGATTTTTCAATTTTTTCTTCTCAGAAATCATATTTTTAGTGTACATTTTCCGTCTGAATCGATTCAAAATTCAATGGTCAATTTCCTTTTTAATCATACTGGATATTAATATAACATCAAAAGCTCATTCGATACGATATAAAAACATTTTCTCATTTCGCCGCGTGTTATTTTCGTATAAATTTTCAATTATCTCCAACATTATGAACTTTTCTGTCTTCATTTTGAATGTCATTTCATTTTGTTGCTTGTTTTCAATTGCATAAACATTATTATTGAGTTAACAAATAGCTGGATGTTCATTATTAATATATTCTTACGTTTTTGAAGAAACTCACAATTTTTTTTAATGGGTGATAATGTAACGATTTACTCGCCTGCGCTAATGGTTTGCGCTGGCGGGACAGCAATGGAGGATGATTGAATAAACATAAGGTCAGGTCAGCTAGCCCATCGTGACAAATTCACCTAGAATTTATTACGATGGGTTCCAGGAGGAACCGATGGATTGCTAGTAATGGGGTCAACAGTCCATATTACTAACAATCCCCTTCCCGCTAAGAAACTCATATTGTCATGTGAAAAAGTTAGGCACTAGAATAAGTACGCTTGTATGTTTTGGTTGTAGTGTGAGATTAGGCAGTGAAATTATAGGATAAAATATATTACATAGTAAACTTCCGGAATGGCAACTCCTAAGTCTCGGGTGTCACTATCGTGTGAATGATAGTCGAATAAAAATAAACCTTATATATTATATATTTAAAAACCATTTATTTTTCTGTTTTTTTTTGGAATATAACCTCTAGTTAATATTTATTTCCCTTAATATGTAAAAGTACTATTCTTTCACAGATTACCACACATACACCTTCAACGATACAGCACATACAGAACGAGAATCGGACGAGATCCTGTCAGTTACATACGAGGACGGCAAGTGGTCGAAGCCTTACTACGACTGCGGGGGTGGCAACATCTGGATGTTGACTTACACTGTCCCATTCTTCGGATACAGCAATGGGACTTACTTCTTCAAGTATGTTTATTATTGCAAGATTATTATTAACTTATTATACTTAAGCAACGATTACGATAGTCGCATCCTATATTTTGACTTACACGGTCCCATACTTCGGATACAGCAATGGGACTTATTTCTTTAAGTACGTTTATTATAATAAGATTATTATTAACTTATTATACTTAACCAACGATTACGATAGTCGCATCCTATATTTTGACTTACACGGTCCCATACTTCGGATACACCAACGGGACTTATTTCTTCAAGTATGTTTATTATTGCAAGATTATTATTAACTTATTATACTTAAGCAACGATTACGATAGTCGCATCCTATATTTTGACTTACACAATCCCATACTTCGGATACAGCAATGGGACTTATTTCTTTAAGTACGTTTATTATAATAAGATTATTATTAACTTATTATACTTAACCAACGATTACGATAGTCGCATCCTATATTTTGACTTACACGGTCCCATACTTCGGATACACCAACGGGACTTATTTCTTCAAGTATGTTTATTATTGCAAGATTATTATTAACTTATTATACTTAAGCAACGATTACGATAGTCGCATCCTATATTTTGACTTACACAATCCCATTCTTCGGATACAGCAATGGGACTTATTTCTTCAAGTACGTTTATTATTGCAAGATTATTATTAACTTATTATACTTAACCAACGATTACGATAGTCGCATGCGATATTTTGACTTATACGGTCCCATTCATCGGATACAGCAATGGGACTTACCTCGTCAAGTATGCTTATTATAATAAGATTATTATTAACTTACTATACTTAAGCAAGATTACGATAGTCGCATGCAGCGATAATTTCTCTAGTCTTAATAACTAAAATAGGTATTTCACCAGTCGATGTTTGTAAGAATATATCTCAGAACTCGTAAAGCAAACCACAGTGATCACAAGAACATAGTTAGCGTTTTAGACATCATTATATAGTATACAATAAAGTCGCTGTCGCTGTCTGTCCGTACCTATGTATGCTTAAGTCTTTAAAACTACGCATTATGAAGCGGTTTTTTTAAATAGATTCAATTAACATAATATAAATTTACAGCTAATTGCCAACACGTTTATATTTTGAAACTTATAAACTTAATTATATAACGACAGAAACATTCTTATTTTATTTATTACTAGCTGTTCCCACAACTTCGTCCGCGTGGAAATTAACTTTATTTTACTAAAATAAAAGTACCCTAAGTTACTCATTATTATATCAGCTACCTGCCAAAAAAAGTCCCGTCAAAATCAGTCCAGCCATTCCAGAGATTAGCCGTAACAAACAGACCGACAGACAGACAAAAATTATAAAAAATGTTATTTTGGTATATGTACCGTATATATATTCATATGCATGTAGTAAAAAACGGTTATTTCAATATTAAAAACAGACACTCCAATTTTATTTATATGTATAGATAGAATTTCATATATCACTAGCTGACACGGCAAATGTTGTTTAGCTTCAAAATTAAAAAAAAAATTAGGGGTGGACTACCCCTAACATTTAGGGTGATGAAAAATAGATGTTGGCCGATTCTCAGACCTACTCAATACGCTTACAAAATTTCATGAGAATCGGTCAAGCCGTTTCGGAGGAGTATGGGAACGAAAACTGTGACACGAGAATTTTATATATAAGATTTAAACATGTACACCCGTGCGAAGCCGTAGCGAGTAGCGAGTAATAATATGAACGAGATATTACCGTCTACTGTCCCAGACGGTAAAATCTCGTTTAACATTTCACAGTATCTTGACTGATATATCTTCCCTTCGTACCGGAACACTGAGTACAAGCAAGCTGCTACATAATTAAATTGTACCCCAAAGTTTTTCTCACCTGAATAAATACCTAATTAATAATCTCAAAAGAGAACAGAATAGAATAGAAAATCATTTATTCAAATAAACTTAATTTAAGCACATTTAAATAGTCATAACATTTTTTTATCTACCGCTCATTTGGAGAGCTCGTTCTTTTTGTGATGACATCACAAGAAGAATGAGCAGGAAACTTGTGTATTGCTCTTTTAAATAATCCTTGTAAGTTTACATTTACAAGTCGAAACGCGCGAATACAAAGTACCAACCAGCACTAGTTTATTGGGTCAAATATAAATACACAATAAGATTAAATCAGTCATAGTGATAAGAGCAGACTAGTTACTACAAGCACGTTCACGACTATGACGGATGAGCCAGCCATCACTGAAAAAAAAAAATTGAGACTATATATATTACTTTTCGGAATCTCTATATGTTATTAAGACATATTGATTTATTCAAAATCCGTTGTGTAGTTTTAAAGATTTAAGCATACATAGAAACAGACAGCGACAGCAACTTTATTTTATACTATGTTGTAATAATGATTTAGTATAGTTAGTTTAGTTCCTGTGTATTATAATACATAGGAATAATAAAATTGTACATGCGCGTAAAATATATATATACACTAGCTGTCCCGGCAAACGTTGTTTTGCCTTAAAATAATAAAAAAATTAGGGGTGGACTACCCCTAACATTTAGGATGAACAATAGATGTTGGCCGATTCTCAGACCTACTCAATACGCTGACAAAATTTCATGAGAATCGGTCAAGCCGTTTCGGAGGAGTATGGGAACGAAAACTGTGACACGAGAATTTTATATATAAGATATAAGATTCTCGTGTTGCGGTGTTTGTTAAAACTCTTCCGAAACGACTTTTAATCGATTTTTATGAATTTTGTGTGCATAACTGGTAGGTTTGAGAATCGGCCAACACCTATTTTTCATACCCCTCAATGATAAGACCTGACCTTCCCATGAATATTTATGTTTTTGACAATTTGTTTTATTTTTATTTTATTATCTTTTAGCATTAAAAAATACATACAAATTCAAATTCAAAATTTCAAATTCAAAATATCTTTATTCATGTAGGTCTATTACAGACTCTTATGATATGTCAAATCTACCGTCAGTTCGGAATGATTTCAAGATAAGAAAAACTGACAAGAAACTCAGAATACAACTTACAATCTATCGAACCGATTTAAAAATATGGATTTTTTTATATGTTTAAGTTAAAATTAAAAATGTCTAATCTTAATAATATTATTAAAATTTTCTGCAGAAACATATAGCTTAAACTAATATATGTGGAATCAATTAATCTTAAGACTAAACATGAGAGACGTTCGAATATACGCTGAGAAATGTGGGCATGTCAGGCGTTGCGGTGACATCGACGGTACCATCTGGTCATGAATATATGTATTTTAAGGAATTATGTGTTATTTTGTCTGTATATGAAAAGATAATTCCATCTTTTCGAGAAAGAGGTCAATCATCGAATCCAACTCGGATGGGCAGCGTTCCGGAAGCTCCAATACTCCAATATCTTTTCATTAAAATTACCGCAGTGTCTCAAGACGTAGGTTTGCGACCAATGTGTGTTGTCAGTGATGACATACGGCACAGAGACATGGTCGCTAACGATGGGCCTCATAAATAAGCTCAAAGTCACTCAGTGGGAGTTTCTTTGCGTGATCGAATCAGAAATTAGAAGATCCGCAGAAGACCCAGAGTGACCGACATAGCCCTATGAATTGCAAAACTGAAGTGGCAATGGGCAAGGCACATAGCTCGTAGGACAGATGGCCGTTGGGGCAGTAAAGTCCTCGAGTGGCGACCGCGGACCGGAAGACGCAGCGTGGGAAGGCCTCCAGCAAGGTGGACCGACGATCTGGTCAAGATCGCTGAAGGCATTGGATGCGAGCAGCGCAGGGCCGATCGTCGTAGAGATCTTTGGGGGAGGCCTTTGTTCAGCGGTGGACGTCTTCCGGACTTTGATGATGATGATGATGATGATGATGGAATTATCTTATGTTGTTTAATTCCGCTACCATTAGTCTGCGGTATATAGAGCGGAAACCTGACCATTATGACCTCCCAGTAAATGTTATCAAGTGAAGGAGATTGATAGTAATGTGGACCAGGAACCCCATTGCCAGCAATGTACTATTTCCACCTGGAAATCATCGTGATGGTGAATTCACCATTTTGGTTAATTAACCACGATGGGCAAACTGACCTTATGTCATGATCATCTTATCATCCTCCAATGGTGCCTCACCAGCCTAAACCATCACAGGCGGGTGCACCATTCCATTATCATCCATAATAATAAAATAATATAGATTACGTCATTTATTAAAATATATTAAAACGATTATTCTCATGAGAAGATTTGCGCAGCTCTTTGTGGAAATAAAATCATATTTTCATTTCACATTTTCCCTCCATAATGTACAAACATGTTCGATATAATTGCATACGAGGTTTCACCATTACATTCATCAGGAATGGATGTATGCATTATGACGTCATTCGGAATCATTATATAGATTCGTTGTACTCTGCATGCGGAATCATTGTCATTATTTTAACCATCATTGTCCATTAGGCAATGTTGAAAATATTATTCCATATATTACGGTAATGGTATTAAATTCGCGTGTCGAGTTTTATATAAAATTCGATACTTTCATTATGAATATTATCATTTTATAAATATTACCAAATTAAATCCATTTAACAAAGTAAAACGTTAATGATACTCATAAAACACATTACTCATTAATCTACTGAAATGAACAATGATCTACTTCATATAATCATCATTATTACATAGTATAAAATAAAATCGCTGTCCCTGTCTGTCTCTATGTATGCTTAAATCTTTAAAACTACCCAACGGATTTTGAAGCGGTTTTATTAATAGATAGTGTGATTCAAGAGGAAGGTTTATATGTATAATACATGTACCCCCGCGCGAATCCGGAGCGAGTAGGTAGTATAGTAAAAAAATATACATATTGTTAGATATATCAACTCTATGTACTAGTAAAAGTATGTATTATAATAAAATAACAACTATATAACATTAATTTAACTATGTCTCTAACACAATTAACTTTAGC